AGAGGAAATGGCAGACGGGAAAAACATACCCAAGAGTCCCCAAGCCATTCGTGGAACTTGATGGGTCCGTGCGTGGTCTCTGCCTCAAAATCGGGGGCTATGCTACCGAGGCGGAGAGTGTAGTCTTTCTTTGGGATGTCAGCCATGGTCGATGCAGGAGATAAGAAGGGAAATAAAGCAAGGCGGGCTTTTATATCGATATTGACATAATCTGATACAAAGATGACGTGCTCCGGTCGCGAGATGGGTTCAGTGCGGGTCTAGGATCACTTCATTGAGCGGCCCTGTAATAGGAGGTCATCGGATGATCTGCACAAGTCGCAATCTCGTCGCCATAGACCTGATGGTGGAAGGAAAACGAGAGCATGAGGAAGCGCCAAGGCCAGCTATAGACCTAACCCTAAAGCAACAATGCACGTGCAGAGCGCGTTCGAAAGTCAAATTGAAGCAATGCAGGTGGACATTTCATTTTGTAGGCAACGGGTCTCTCGGAGCGCTGCCGAAAATCTTCAGGATCAAGGAAAGACCGCTTGTGAGGATGACAGCCACGCTGAGAAAGTGTGAGTTAACCATAGAACGCGTGGAAAGAATCTCACGAGGCGTCACGGTCTTAGGAACTCAGGAGGATAACCGAGGAAACATTGAATCACTACCGACCGCAGCTGCCAGTAAAGGCTGTACGCTGAGATTTGAGATAGAAAAAGCCAGATGGTCGTGAGAGGAGCGTCGATGAACAGACTCTCTGCTGAGAATCATCAGAAGAAAAGAGCATATTTTAAGTGAGGAAAGACGCAGACATCAAACTTCGCGACTCTAGGAGGCCAAAGACAGTGACAGTTAGGAGACACGGAGGACCTCGCTGCCAGCCGTGCTCGACTGTGGATAATATAGGGCCGCCGCCGCCGCCGACAACTTCAGAGACAGACCTGATTCTAAGTCATGATGCATACGATGTTACTATTTTTACGGATGACCAGGTCATCAAAGCAGGTTGTAACGGGAATCGTCCTGACCTGGGAAGAGGAGGGGATACAGGAGGCTCGGTTATTTCCCACGGATGACGCGACGCGTCAGTCACGTGCGCTCTCAGTCGCACTGATAATCAGGAACGATCCGGATCCCTTTCGACGCGCAATGTTTTCTACTGCTATGTCTCAATTATAAAGCCCTTCTCCATCCTTCATCCACCAGGCGGTCTGCGATAATCCATTTTCCCATACATTGGGATATTTCCTTTCGTTATTTCTTATTCCTTCCGGCATTACACCTGGACTTGCCTGCAACATACTTTCACTCGCAGGTTCTAGACACTATCTTGTCTTACTTTATGCACTCGATATCTCAAGTGGGTTTGCGGGACAGGAGACTGGCAGACGCAGTTCACCGCCGCGAATAACTAGCGCAATCCTGGTCATGGGTCCGACTCGTAGGCACACTAGCAGCATAAAGAAACTGTATAGCGCCAAGTATCACACGGCAATCGCGCACACAAATATGTTGCCCGATATGTGCCTGTGCCTGTGCCTTATTCATTTTGGAAAGCAAAAGCTTGGCTCGCTTGTCCTTGCACCCCCATCATTCCCGCGAAATGGGTGGATTTACGCGCAGCATGAGCGATGGAGCGTTCATCAACAGTCTCATTCGCAGAGCTGCGACTTCACAGGTTGCTTGCCTACTTTCTGTCCCTACCTACATCATCACCAACTTCTGTAGGGAGGTGTCTTCAGCGGCGACAACCCAGCGGATTATAATGCGTCGGACCCCATCCGCCTCTGGGTCATCCAAGTTGGTACGTAGCCTTCGGAATGGCATGACCGCGTCATGTTGCTGATCCCTCCTCCTCGTGTAGTGATCATTATTGCTATGACCCAGCTCCTGGCTCTCATCTTTGGCCGAATCCGCCAGCCGCGCGTTATAGCAGAGGTAATAGGCGGTGTCCTCCTAGGCCCGACGGTAATGGGACGCATCCCCAACTTCAAACAGTCTATCTTCCCAGGTGTGTAATGATATTCCTCGGACGGCGTCGTATTCACGTCATCTACTTACTAGACGTCGCTATGCCGCTCTTGAATCTCACTGCGACCATTGGTCTCGTCCTATTCCTCTTCCTAGTTGGTCTTGAAATAGACACACGTCTTATGAAAAGGAACATCAAGGCGGCGACTGCGGTTTCGGTTGCAGGATTGCTTGTCCCTCTTGGCCTGGGCGCTGCCCTAGGAGTTGGCGTATACCGCGAATTCATCGACCCTGCCGTCAATTTTGGATATTTTGTCCTCTTTGTAGCTGTTGCAGTCGGGATCACGGCGTTCCCGGTCTTGTGCCGCATCCTGACCGAGCTCAAACTTTTGGATACCACAGTCGGTGTCGTGGTTTTGTCTGCCGGCGTTGGGAACGATGTCGTGGGATGGGTATTACTTGCGCTGACTGTCGCGCTCGTAAATGCGTCGACAGGTCTTGTGGCGCTATATGTCCTCCTCACTAGCGTGGGATATGTCATATTTCTACATTCCCCGTCAAGTGGGGCTATCTTTGGCTCTGCCGCCGGACAGGCAGCCTGGAACAGGGCTCGCCCACTGCTCTGATGATGACTGTCACTTTGTTGATCGTCTTCATCTCAGCGTTCTTTACGGATATAATTGGAGTTCATGCCATCTTCGGTACGCCATTCTTCGATATTCCTGTGTGTGCTGTCTTAGTTTGCTGCAATAGGTGGCTTCTTGGCGGGTCTGATCATACCTCACGAGAACGGATTTGCCATCTCCTTAGTGGAAAAGATCGAAGACCTTGTAACCATCCTCTTTCTACCATTGGTATGTGGCAGACTATCTACTAGACTTCAGTTTATGATGTTCTCATCTCTACATAGTACTTCACTCTCTCAGGACTGAGGACTAATCTCGGTTTGCTTGATAATGGCATTACTTGGGGATACACCATCCTTATCTGTGTTGTTGCTTTCTCCGCCAAGTTCTTCGCCTGTGGGGCGGCGGCTTTGGGCACGGGTTTCAACTGGCGTGAGTCTGGCGCCATCGGGTCTCTCATGAGTTGCAAAGGGTAAGCGATCTTCTCGTCTTCATGACAAGTCACAAACACGTTTTACAGATTGGTGGAGCTCATCGTGTTGAATGTTGGCCTTCAAGCCGGCATTCTGGACACACGCGTCTTCTCAATGTTTGTCGTGCACGCCATCATCTTAACGTTCATTACGACCCCTCTTACGCTAATGTTCTACCCATCGAAGTACCGTGTACACACTGGCGGTGCTATCGTGAAGAGCACACCGCCTCACACAGATACTGAAGCTCGGGGCACTCGTCCTTCATTATCCGAAAGTGCCTTCAAGACTCGCTTTGCCGTAGTGCTGGACAAAATAGAGCAGCTTCCTGCAGCAATGACGCTGGCTCAGCTATTACATCCATTTGCTTCAACAGGCACAGTCGCTCACGATGGAGGGGCTTCCACTAACATCGTCCAAAAGCACTCTTCCACCTCCCCCAACATCACCATCGACGCGCTTCGTCTCATCGAGCTCACCACCAGGACCTCCGCGGTCCTCAAATCAACGGAGTCTTCTTCCCTGTTACAGAGCGACGCTGTCCTCTCCGTCTTCCGGACATTCGGTCAGCTGAACAAGCTGCTCATATCCGCTGCGCTTTCAGTCGTCCCGCACGACGAGTTCGCGACCGCCATCTCGACGCATGTGTCTGAGTCGGCTACGGAGATGGTCATTCTGCCTTGGTCGCGCGGATCCAACACTGAAGAAGACGCGGCCGGCGCGCGCAAACCCTTTGATGGCATATTTCACAAATCGTCCGCATCGTCGCACGACCAGACAAGCTCGGTCGTGTATTCGGAGTTTATCCGCCGTGTGTTCATGGGCTGTCCAAGCGACGTGGCGCTGTTCGTGGATCGGGGCTCTAATCTCAACACGGGTGCGCTGCAGTTTTTCTTGCCGTTCTTTGGTGGCCCCGACGACCGGTTGGCGCTTTCCTTCCTCATGCAACTTTGCGTCAATCCTGAAGTAAAGGCGACTGTTGTACGTGTGGTGAAGACCGACAATGCGTTGACTTCGACTAGTAGTGTGGATGATAAAGGGAAGAACGCAGAACTAGTTTCTGATGTACTTCCAAGTTTACACTACGTAAGTATCTCCTCTTTTCCGCTTTGATTATACTAATGTTACCTTGGTGCTAGACCGTCACTGCTGCCGATACGGTATACGATATCCAGAACACCGTGACGCGCCTGGCCTCAGACACTGCTGATAACATCGCTTGGAACCGATACACACAAAAATCGGCTACGTACACACCCGATACCGCCGTCTTATCCGCGCTTTCGCGTATGACCTTCGTGACAGAGGAGGCATCTGATCCCTTACACCGCGTCTTAGACTTGGTCAAAGATGAGGTGGCGCAGTCCGGTCGGAACGTTATTGTAGTGGCCGGGCGTTCAAGGAGACTGGCTGCTTTGAACCACACGGCGGAGCTGGGAAGGATTGTGGCTGAGAAAGGGTCCGCGATTGGGTCGAGTGTTTCGAAGACCGTAGGAGATGTTGGGGCTGCATTAGTTGCAGATGGGACTGCAGCAAGCTTGTTGGTTGTACAGGCTGCTGCTCGCACGAACTAAAATGTCCACATTATGATTCGTAGATGGGTGGTACAGCGGTAGACACCATTTGTTGTGTAAATTACTTTGACTTGACGACGTTATGTTCTAGTGACTGGTGGTACTAGACCGTTAATCAAAGAACTGGCGTATGCCACATAATCAGTGGGGAAGAACACTGCTCTTCTCCACGACGCTATAGCAACCGATAGGTACGCCATATCACAGTGGAGTAGATATAGGTAGATATTCATCTTAGTAGGCTCCGAAGACCCGTTAAAATGGCAGAAGAGGCACGAAGAGTGGTCCAATGATTGGTATAATCTTAGTTTAGAACGAAGGAGAACGTCTCCGTAATGTGAGGTTGAAATTACAAAGAAACTCGTCCGCAAGCCCTGTTGGCGTAGTGGTAGCGCGTCGCACTTGTACATTATGTAACATGCGAAGGTCATTCGTTCAATCCGGGTACAGGGCATTTGTTGGTCTGGTGAATTTTTTAAGGTGGCGCAGTGTTGATAATTCCCCCGCCCGGTTAATAACATGGGCGGGCTAGGGTTGCGCAGTATATTCCCCGAGGCGGTTAGTAACCTCGGCGGAATATACCCCCATTTTGGGGTGTGTTATTAACGGTTAGTAACAGTTAATAACCGCACACGTGATGTAATGTGGCGTATTTTCCCCGTCCCAAGCAAAATTTTCTTCTCAGGCCCTCAGAAACCTCTTGAATGGCTGCAAAATAATCTAATGTAAGTTCTACTGATCTTCTGATGTATGTATTGAGTCTAGTGGCTCATTACCAGCCATCTTGCCTGCAATCACCCTTCTCCCCGCCGATCCCGCCCCAATGCGCCACCCCGCCCCACCTGTTCACATGACTGCATCATGTGATGGGTTAATAATGCCCAAAAACTTACCTCTCGAAGGGGTGTTATTAACCGGTTAATAACCGTTAATAACCAGTTAAATATCGAACGGCGCGATATTATAGGTATCCTGCGCAACCCTAGGGCGGGCGCCGGGATATACCCCAATTTTTGGGGTGTTATTAACCTTGCCGCCCTCATTCTGTCTAGGGTGGTGCAGTAAACCTCCCGGGGGTGTTAATAACGGTATTGGCTCTAGTTTTGAAACCGTTAGTAACGGTTTCGATACCAGCACGTGCTTTGCACCACGTGATGTGGCGCAGCGGCCCACCGCCCTGATCCCGCCTCTGTGCCGCCAATTCTTGCTTGTCCTCAGCGTCGGCGCGCCGTCACGTGAAGAATCGCGTGCTGATATCGAAACTAGGGTGGCGGAAATAAGTGTAGGTTTTTTACCAAAACACTTATTTACATGTAAATTACAGTAAATTACCTGGTAAATTACATGGCCGGCTGAGGGTCAGATTTTGGGTGGTAATTTACCTGTCACGTGCACCCGTCCGGCGCCGCCACCAACCCATTTGCGGACATATATCAGTGTCGGCACAAGCCCGACTAGTTGAGGGAGGTGGCTGTAGTGCCCTAAAGCCAACCAGTGGCCTGGGGTGACTCAGAGAGCTGTTTTAACAGCATTTTCTGAAGAAATTTTGAGAACTTTTGGAAGAAAATTTGCGCCGCAAAAGGTGTCACGTGATCGGCACGTGCGTGGTAAATTACCTGGTAAAGGGTAAAACGGTCATTCTGAGGGCATTTCAGTGCCACAGGCACTGCGGCACAGCCGCTGAGGGCATTGCTGAGGGGAATTCGGTCAACGACCGTTTGCTCAACGGTTTTCAATCGCTTTCCGGCAACTTTTCGGTGCGCGTTCAGTGCATGTTCTTTCAATTACGTACATGGTTCGGGCCATTGTTCCGCTGATGTTCTTTGATGCTTACTCGCGATCACATCTTTCCCTCTGACCACCACAGCACGACGACACTGTCGTGTTCGGAGAACCCCTGGAGTCTCTTCTACCTCTTCTCTTCTCTTTTCTCGCTTTCTGCCGCTGATTTAGCTTAGCGCCAGCCGCTGCGCCCTCGGATACGTTCCGGGGCGCATTCTGGTGTTCGTCTTTGCGACGACACTAATTTAACAAGGATCTGGCACGCGTAAGCCCTCACAAGCGAGGCAGCACTTATATCAGACCGTTCTCTTTGCACTTGGAACATAAAATTTGCTTCATTGCCCACTGGAACGATTTCTTGCATTTATCTGCGAAATGACCCCTTCTGGATGGACCGCGACACGCGTTATCCCTTACTACACGGCTGCACTATCAATGGATGGTGGGCACTCACTTGCAGAGGTCTATACCCCGCCATCTATGCTCGCGACATCTGGCACTCTTCTTCACGACAGCGGGGTTTAATGTGCACGCACAGCGTCAAAGCCCTTTTGGACGACGTCTCATTATCCGCGCTGTTTGAACCGGGCTGAATGGTGTCACGGACACATCTAGCCTCACATGGTATGTATTCTTACAATTTATTATTGTTTCTATTTAATGTATCTTAGTTTAATGTATCCAATTGCTCCCCTCTAACCTCTATCCACCTCTTGTATCTACCACTTTTTCGTTTCTGGTATGTGGGTCGCTCTCTTGGGCTTTCCGCGCCACAGCGAAAACAACCAGCCAGCGAGTATCGGGAGATCTGTTCCCCGTTTGAGATCCTCGGGGAAAATGACGAGTAACCCGTACCCGATATGAGTACTATACCATTAGGTTCGGGGCGGGAGAGCTCATGAGCCCCGCCCCCGATCCGTGCTTTTCACTACCTCAGAGTAATTCTATTATATTTCGTGTTTAGGCATTTATTGTCATATCATGCCTTCTGATACAAGATTTATGTACGAGTGCCAGTTGTTAGAAAATAAGAAATCAGACTCTCAACTCTTCGTGGCCTTTTTTTTAAAAAAAAGAGAGTGAGGGGGAGACGCCCTGGATTCGAACTCTCGCTCTGAGCGGTCGCACAGTCGGCATCTCGGCATAAACGGTCAAACGGTCGACCGTTTGTGGGTGGCTGTGCCCCTCAGAACGGCGGGGTTCCTTGGTAAATAAGTAAATTACATGCCCTCCGGAGGGCCGCTGGTAATTTACAGGTAAATATCTGGGCCCGGACTTATTTCCGCCACCCTAATCGAAACCTTCCTCCCGACCTCCGACAGTTTCAATACCGTATTGATACCATTAGTAACCACATTGACAATAAATCCAATATTATTGCGATTCGCAAGTTCTTGTTGGCGGGGCTTAAGGAAGCAACAACAATTTTGAATATTTTTCTGCACAAGGATGTAACAGAACAATGGAAGACCAAGAAGAATTAAAAAACGGTGTTACAGTACATTCGTGATGTCGTGGACTCTAAGGCTTCACTGCTGGAAGCGTGGCCTACAATTTCGATCACGATTGTGACGCTTCTGACTTTTCCCTCACTACACGTCTCCCTTCGGCCGGAGCAGCAAGATTCATCAACCCTATGACGAGCACAATCGTAAGCAAACTCCATCCAATCCAAGCGAACGCCAGAATCGTCGTCAGGATGTTGCACTCCTTGCCGCTCACAGGACAATAGTTCTTCCCTGGAAGAATTCGGTTCTGTAGTAGCATGGATGTCAGATGCCAAACAATTATCCAAAACACTCAGACTGACCGTAGTATCCACCGCACCGACAAGCCACATCACCCACAAAACGAACGCCCCCGCCATTTCCAGACGAATGATGCGAGTAGAAAGGAGTAAGACGAATCTGGGAACGATTTTGAGTGTACAGATGGCGAAGGTCCTATGCATACGTACGCAATCGGAACCCAGAGAATCGCGAGAATGGAAGATACAAGCAGTTCGACGACGATAGGTTCTGAACAAGAGACACTTTGGTCAGCACTGAAAGAGCCCTGTTCCCTGAACGAAACCCACCATAGGATCTGCCGATATGCTCTGTGATATGCACGCGGTAGGCAGTCAGTCCGAGGAGAACACATGCGACCATCCACTACGACGCCATGTCAGTGTGAGGATATAGCTGCGACGAAGTTATCTTACGAGAAGGCCATACACTGCGTAGGTGGGGAATCGACCAATAGCCATGATTAAAAGGCAGAGAGAGAGAGGGCAAAAATCGACAGGCGGTAGGCGTCAACAGACTTGCCGTGTATCACTTCTTGGCCATATTTTATAAGCGGATACTAAGAATACGACAGAATCACACCTCCTCCTTGCGGCACCGACGAATATAACCTTCTGGCGCAACAGAAGCCCTTGGCTTGAAAGTTGAGTCAGACGTGAAGCCATGGGACCACTTTACACCGCTGTATTACTCGACATGAACCTTGGGAGGTGTAACATGTTGGCCAGATGACCGGTAGAGATGAAAGAGATGACGAAGACATACGAAGAGAAGGTATCATTAGTGAGCTTATTATGCGGCCGCCGCCGCGACTGCAAGCCAGTCGAAGACACCACAGCTAGTTTTCCGAATATCGCCGACTTCCTCAGTGGTACGGGCGTCATAGAAAAGCAGCCTAGAACAAAGAGATACGGTAGTCGGCGGAAATTGCAGTATTCAGGAACCTGACGAGTCATTCTCACCTCAAACAACACGGTCTTCTTTCCCTATTCTTGAAGTCTGTTATTGAATGTGTCATAAATAGAACGACAGAAGGACCATATACCTCACAGATCGCCCCAACTGCTGTCCCGCCGCCACCGCGAAGAATTCCGTCCTATGAAAAAATAGCGTCGAATCACCATGCCACCGAGAAACCTTCTACACAGGGCTCGTAGCATTCCTCTCTTTCCAGAGCGGAAACTCGTCTAAATCGATATCGCTGGAGCAGTCTAGACGTACGCGAAGCTGATGAAGGAGTCGTGGAATCCCGTACCATGACCGTTGGATTCTATTCAATCAAGGAAAAAAAGATAACAATGAGGTGATTTGAGTCAATTGAGAGCTCCAACTTCGTTACGGAAGTCGCACTGGCAGGGTACGCAGTGGATACGCGTCGTGGGGAAGAGTAGATCATGTGTTCAAACATTCGCGGACATGGGCGTCCATCACGGATTTACAGGGAAGAGGAGCGACGGAATCGGCCGACCAGATGCCATGATGTTACTCAATACTGGGAGTATAAGGTTCATCTATCAAAGCGCGTCAATTGGCATCGTGAGCGTTTTGAATGAAGAGAGTGCAACGGGGTTAGCCCGTTGGTTAGCCAACATCTTGATCTAGGGTCGTCCCGGAGCCTGCCGAGTATGGAAGCGAATGATACAAGTTCTAACATCTAACAAAGATTAAACCAAAATACACGGTTGGGAACATTGTTACAGAGTACAACATGATGCATTGATGTCGAAGTATTAAACTATCTCTAGAATATAAGTCGTAGCTGAAGAGGGCATCAAGTACTAGCGTTGAAAGGAATAATGGTCATGAGAGGATCATCAGAAAGGAAGCACAATCTTTTTAAACCTGACCCGCTGCCTCTGCGGCCTTCTCGTGAATGATAGGCTTT